AATATTACACCAGAATAGTTTGATGGTATAATATGGTAATAAAATATTAAGGAAAGTACATCGTCATTTTTTTGTCATTTTCTTATTCTCCACGTAACGCTAGGATGAAGGTTTGACCTTTCCCTTCTACAAACAAAAATAAAGATCATTAAATGTTAAAAGAAGGAAAAATATTATCGCTACAAATGTAATTCATGACATTAAGAAACACATACCGTATGTATAACAATACCATGACAATCAGTACGAAAATAATCATTTTCCTTCTGCAACTCAAGTGTGTCTACACGTGGCAATATATTATCATTCTGAGGAACTACAATACTAAATTCTTCATCTACATCTTCATATGTATCTCTGTAATTTTTGGGAGGTGTATTGAACACAATAGACATTTTTTGATCGAGCGGGTCTGTGACATAAAATACTTGTTGTGCTTATGAGGCCAATATGAAGGGATCACCTTTATGGCCTAATCTTTTTAGTTCAACTAGTGTGTACCCCAATTTATCCCTTTTTACCCCATTTCTATTATCAACCCAGTCACACATGAAAATTGGAATTCGTTTAAAATGATAATCTAGTACCCATATCTCTTGTAAAACACCATAATAAGTGTTTTTGGCATATGTTACAACTTTTTTACTGATGTGTGTGTCAGTTGCAACGACACTAACCCCACTGTTTTGGTAAACTTTACCTTCACTAGCTTTTGTACGAAAAGTATATCCATTGATAGCATATACATCGTATTTAAGAATGTTCTTATTGGGTCCATGTGAAATCCATCTCATTGTCTATGTTATACTTTCTCTGCGCCCCCCCTAACTCTCTCTCTACCTGAATTGTAATTAGATAATGAATTTAAGATATAAAGAAATACATAACAAAGAACACAACATATATGAAATGAATATAGCTCCTTTTGTAACCAATGACCAAATGTATTAATGTGGTCTTGTTCTAGCTGTGCCTTTCATTTATTAGGGTGTTGATGTTGCAAAAAAATCCATGTGTCGTCTGTCAATACGTTAATGTTAATATTATAACAAAAAAAACATACATGTAAAAAAACTTACTTGATATACGGGAGTACTTCAGATGTATTTTGCAATACAAAGAAATGTGCTTTGCTGAATAGTTCTGCGGAAACTTCTACCGATTTAGTAGCTGATAGAGGAGTACCGTTCGTAATAGGACTACTATCTACACCTATCTGAATTCCACATGTGTTATGATTGTCACGTGGAATACCAACATTATCCATCTTTTTGAGGAATTCACTAAAAAACTCAATCGTCTCTTCTGCAACATTCTCTTCTGCAATGCATCCTTCTGGTCTATTTTTGTTTCGCATGTGCCCCTTAATAACCTTCATAAACCTTTCGAACGGGTACATCCATCTAAAGAATATTGGACCGCATAGTTTTACTTCCCTAGTTAGATGAACGGTTAAATGAATCATCACATCAAAAAATGACGGTGGAAAGTGTTTCTCAAGAAGGCATAAGGTTACACATAACTCCTCTTGCAACTTATCGAGCTCATCCAGTTTGATTTCTTTGCTACATATTGATTTGAAAAAGAAACAAAACCTTGTAATAGCAACTCTGGTGGGTGGATCCATAATAGATCGAATTGCTATGGGCAAAAACTGTTGCATGAGCATGTGATAGTCATGTGATTTTAGTCCGATCAACTTCCTATCCTTCAGACTCACCAAACTAGAAAAATTAGAACAATACCCTTGAGGAACCCTTAAGTTGTATAAAGTCACACATAATTTGTCTTTTTCCTCTTTTGTCAATGTACAACCTGCTGCGGGAAGTGTTATGTTGTTCCCTTCTATCTTTGGATGCAGCTCTGGTTTTAAACCATAATGAACCAAATCCAATCGAGCTTTATAACCATCTTTCATCTTCCTGGGAACGTTCAACACAGTTCCGGTTAAACTCTCGCCCATGTTCTTTTCGACATGAATAAAATCTATACAATGTGGAATCAAATTGTCGCGCCAATACCTTAGCTGTCTATACCATATATTGAATTTCTTCCAGTATGTATTATTTTGCTGGCCCACATCTGAAGTACCCACATGGCGTGATTTTCTCTTTTTTTTATTAATCTTCCCACCTCTTCCAGTTGTAGATTGTTGGATTTCTGCCTCCTTGCCCTTAGACACCTTTCAACATTTATTAATTATAAATTTGACCCTGTTATATACTTCCTCCCCATTCATAGGTTCCGGAGAGGGTGAAAACTCTTGTTGTCCATTGAATGCCTTTTTTGTCTTCTGAACGGGTAATCATATGGTAGAAATCGTCTATGACCAGCATAACTCTGCTTATTCGATTCAGGGAGTCTAATGCAGTGTGTTTCTTCGCCACACACAACACAACCTTGAAATTCGTTGTATGGACAACCACTTAATGTACCTAGAGCAGGATAATCATTAATAGTCCATAACACTACTGCACGTAGTTTAAACTGCTCTTATGCATATGCATCGTATGTTTCAACTCCAATATCAAATAGAAATTGCAGATCATCAATAAAAGGTGCTAGGAACACATCAATATCGTTTCCTGGTGTTTTCGAAATCAATAACGAAAGCATGATGAACTTTCTCTTCATACACAACCATGGTGGAAGGTTGTAAATGACAGTTAAAATAAGCCACACACTATGACTCCTATTTCCTCTATTCACATCGACCTCGTCAACTGAAATGCCTAGCCGCAAATTTCTTGGCTCGCTAGCAAAGTCAGGATATTTTTCATCAATGGCAGCCGATGCTGGTGAATCAGATGGGTGACTTAAAACATCAATATCCACCTTTCTGTCTGTTGCGTGCCATGTTAAATCTTTTGCAGTAGTCTTAGACTGAAAAAGTCGTTTCAAGCGCGGAATAATTGGAAAGTACCACAAAACGTTTGCAGGAATATTATTGTAAATTTTATTTTTTTTGTTCATCGACCTTCCATCCTGATTTACCACAAGTAGGACATGCTGCCATGTCTGTGTATTCGTTTCTGTAAAGTATACAGTTGTTGACACATGCATGTATCTTAGTATACCCTGAACCCATTGCCTTGAATGCTTTTTTGGCCTCGTATGTACTACTGTACATTTCGTTACCTTCTGGTAACATATTTTTGATCAAAACCAATAATTCTGTAAAGCACTTATCTGATACTCCATACTTACTCTTTAAGTTGTTGTATGACTGCAGATAATTTTGTGAAATTAGGACACCCTTTATATAGGGGCTTCTCGGCATCTTCAATCACTTCTCTAAACTTCTCAGGGTTCCTAATAAAATTTTCTTCTACAGCTTCCACCATCTCTACTGTTTCTGCAGCATCTGCTGGCATTTATGTGTTCATGTTCGTGGAATCAACAACGTATGACGTGTCCATGTCAAAATTATGTTCATATATATAATTTTTGGGTGGTTCCTCTGTTTCTCCATGCTTATTCCAATTCGTGTATGTTTGATCAATTCCATTCCTGAATAGGTGATCATCTACCACATCCACCGAATGAGATATGTGGTTTACACATTTGACACATGGACATGGAATTCTTATCTTTTTTTTGGTATCTACAGGATCCATATTTTTAGAAATCTTGTAATTGTGTACTGCATATTTCAAAAATCCTGCAACACCCTTTACATACGTTTCTGATGTTCTGTAGGCTCCCATCCAAGACTTATCCATATTCAGTTTATAACAGCATCAACAAGCAATATATGTTTCATGTTCATTGAATCATTTTAACAAACAATTGGTGTGCATAAACGAAAAATATCACATTACAATTAAATCCAATAACTGAAAACCAAATACTTGTTAATTCAAGACTATATAATGATATATGAGCAAACGAAATAGCAAAGATTAATATTATGAAGGTAATTGTTTTTTATGTCCCTGGATAAATTAATGTAGTATGTGTACCTATATGAATTTCATGTTGAAGTATCAATTCCTGGTTGAAGTATAAACGTAGTTGCAATGCGTTTGTAGTAAGCAGAGAATGATTCGATGGGAATGCATATTGTCTAAAAATTCATATCTACGCAATAGGTGTGGATGATCAGGGATATATCGAGAAAAAACAAAAAAAAGAGAAAAAAATTGTTCCTAATGGGGTTCGAACCCATGGCATTCCAAAATATACCTTTAACTACATTTACACTTACCAACTGGGGTGACTGGCTGTTTGTAAGTTATTAGTTTATGAAAAAAACATAACAATAAAGTAAAAGAGAAACATTTGACGAAAATACCCCTGCTTCCTCTAGAACTGATCTAAAACAAACACATTTACCATCAATCATACTTTCCTCATTTGATACAATATACGTAATTGTGGTTGCACATTGTTTTTAATTAGCCTTCACAATTAGAAATAAAAACAAATGACAAAAATACCCCTGATTCTTCACACTCTTATTTTTTAATTGTAGTTATGCACATCATATATGTATCCAAGATTAACTTATTTTTTTTTCTATCAATACTATGATGATGCATACCCTTAGATGCTGTTTCCTTTTTCTTTTCATTATATATATTGAATGACCATTATACCCTTATATCTCAAACACAGTTTCAATGGGAAATTATAACATTTTCTTTGTTTTATGATAATAACAAATAATTGACGGATATACCCCTGCTTTACCATAATCTCCATATGTTGATAACAAACATGGGACAAACTAACTAATCTAACCAATAACTTACCTCTAAAGTGGAAAAAAGTTGAAAAGTACATTGCTTTTTTTACAAAACAATGCAGCAAAACAGGGACAATACTGACTCGGTTATAAATATGAAACACAATATAAATAACAATATAAAATTATAATTATAATTACTTCCCATTTTGCCCCTAAGACAGTTATAATCAAAACAACATCATATTCCTTACAAAAAAGAGTTTCATATGTACTCTGTATTAAACACAAAATAGAGTACAACATAGGTCGTCTACACTATGTTTTTCCATGCTATCACATTCTCCTTCGCCATGTCCATTGCATCTTCCATTTTTTCTCTTGGAATGGTCATGTTTAGCATATGCCTGATGTATGCTATTCCATCATCAACTGTTGCCATTGGGTGTTCTGTTACAAACAGATGAATAAGTTTCTCAACTCTTTTGGATGGTGAGTTCATCAAAAAGTGGGGGAAATTGATTGGAACAAATACAGGCCTATGTTCAACATACAGATGTTCAATCTCTCGGAATTGGTGTGCCCTAACGATCATCTTGAAAGTTCCCAAACAACATCATTCAGAATTGGAATCATTGACAACCCACAGTTTTCTTCGGTTGGCATATGATACCAGTTACCCATAGTTGTATACCCCAAGCTTTTCGAAAACCGACCAAGCATCTCCATGTTGAGCAAATCGATGTTGACACATGAAATAAAGTTAACTTTTGTCTTTTGATACGACTTACCTGGATAGTCTGTAAAAAACCCGCCATGTACAACTCTAATGGTGAATCTCTTATCGTTTCCTTTCCCGTACTCTACTAATGTGTGTTTTTTGGTGGTTCACTGCTTACACTCTAGAGTTGGAACCTCAGATTTGCCCATGGATCAACATTCATCTTTGTTTCCATTGATCGTCGGAGTTGTTTTCACAGAGGAGGAGCAAATAATCGAAGCTATCGTAAGTTGGTAATGAAGATGTAATAATGACGTTTTTGATATAAGGGGATGCTTTAAATGAATCATCATTCGGAGCTGAAGGGACATCGACGCAGGCCATCACTTCCGATTAATAGCAGGCTACAGGGGAGGTGCAATTTGAACGACGGCTGTGATAATGATTATCGATATTGTGTTATACATTAATATATTATTTACATTAATATATATATAATATTAATTAAGTGTAACATCCATACTTGCTTTGTTTTTATCAATGTTTTAAAACCCGGGTCGACCCGGCCGGTTCAACCGGTTGGACCGTGACACGGGGTAGAAGGCGGGTCAATTGAGAGCGGGTTTTTGTAAAAATACGGACCGGATCGAACCGGCCGGGTTTCCCCTAAACCGTGGCTCAACCTCTTATGTCGAACCGGTTAAAACATGATTGACCCGTTTTAATAGGGCTTGGATAGTTGGATACAAGTAGAGAATGCCAAAACAATGAGTATGGGTTGTAGGTGGTCGGGTGTTGGTAATGGTTGACCATCCTTAGGACATGTAGGGGTGTTGGTAATGGTTTGAGACCAAAATGGGTTTATAATATGGGTATGGGTTGAAGGTGGTCGGGTGTTGGTAATGGTTGACCATCCTTAGGTCATGTAGGGGTGTTGGTAATGGTTTGGGACCAAAATGGGTTTCTAATATGGGTATAGGTTGCAGGTGGTCGGGTGTTGGTAATGGTTGACCATCCTTAGGTCATGTAGGGGTGTTGGTAATGGTTTAGGACCAAAATGGGTTTCTAATATGGGTATGGGTTCCAGGTCGTCGGGTGTTGGTAATGGTTGACCATTCTAAGGTCATGTAGGGGTGTTGATAATGGTTCGGGACCAAAATGGGTTTATAATATGGGTATGGGTTGAAGGTGGTCGGGCGTTGGTAATGGTTAACCATCCTTAGGTCATGTAGGGGTATTGGTAATGGTTTGGGACCAAAATGGGTTTATAATATGGATATGGGTTGTAGGTGGTCGGGTGTTGGTAATGGTTGACCATCCTTAGGTCATGTAGGGGTGTTGGTAATGGTTTGGGACCAAAATCGGTTTATAATATGGGTATGGGTTCCAGGTGGTCGGGTGTTGGTAATGGTTGACCATCCTTAGGTCATGTAGGGGTGTTGGTAATGGTTTGGGACCAAAATGGGTTTATAATATGGGTATGGGTTGCAGGTGGTCGGGTGTTGGTAATGGTTGACCATCCTTAGGTCATGTAGGGTGTTGGTAATGGTTTGGGACCAAAATGGGTTTCTAATATGGGTATGGGTTGTAGGTGGTCGGGTGTTGGTAATGGTTGAGCATCCTTAGGTCATGTAGGGGTGTTGGTAATCATTTGGGACCAAAGTGGGTTTCTAATATGAGTATGGGTTCCAGGTGGTCGGGTGTTGGTAATGGTTGACCATCCTTAGGTCATGTAGGGGTGTTGGTAATGGTTTGGGACCAAAATGGGTTTATAATATGGGTATGGGTTGCAGGTGGTCGGGTGTTGGTAATGGTTGACCATCCTTAGGTCATGTAGGGGTGTTGGTAATGGTTTGGGACCAAAATGGGTTTCTAATATGGGTATGGGTTCCAGGTGGTCGGGTGTTGGTAATGGTTGACCATCCTTAGGTCATGTAGGGGTGTTGGTAATGGTTTGGGACCAACATGGGTTTATAATATGGGTATGGGTTGCAGGTGGTCGGGTGTTGGTAATGGTTGACCATCTTAGGTCATGTAGGGGTGTTGGTAATGGTTTAGGACCAAAATGGGTTTATAATATGGGTATGGGTTGTAGGTGGTCGGGTGTTGGTAATGGTTGACCATCCTTAGGTCATGTAGGGGTGTTGGTAATGGTTTGGGACCAAAATGGGTTTATAATATGGGTATGGGTTCCAGGTGGTCGGGTGTTGGTAATGGTTGACCATCCTTAGGTCATGTAGGGGTGTTGGTAATGGTTTGGGACCAAAATGGGTTTCTAATATGGGTATGGGTTGTAGGTGGTCGGGTGTTGGTAATGGTTGACCATCCGTAGGTCATGTAGGGGTGTTGGTAATGGTTTGGGACCAAAATGGGTTTATAATATGGGTATGGGTTGCAGGTGGTCGGGTGTTGGTACAGGTTGACCATCATTAGGTCATGTACGGGTGTTGGTAATGTTTTGGGACCAAAATGGGTTTCTAATATGGGTACGGGTTTAGGACCGAAATGGGTTTATAGTAGGTGTATGGATTTTTTTTCTTACTTAATATAAAATAAAATAAAAAATCTTAACAAAGTGTTCACACGGAAAAATTAGTTAGCTAACTAGACCTTATTCTTATTTTCGTTTTATTATACTATTATCCCATTGTATATACATAAGTAAATGTTAAATATTTTTTATTCCAATAGTCATATAGTTGTATCCTAACGTAAAATTGTTAATTTACAAGGACCAAATTTGTAACATTTCTATTAGTATCTAATAACTCGTAATAATGTTTCAAAAGCCAGAACATGTTTCCAAACCACGATTTATGCTTCTCATCGTGTGAGTTCACTATCAGATCAAAATTTGGAAAAAATTTGAATTCGTCAATCAAAATTAAGCAAATATAATGGGAGGCAAACATTTTTTCCATTTTGTTTTGGGCTCCAAATCAACGCGGGAAGTATTCATCTATCTCACCGCCAAAACTATGAAGATCAATCCATCAGATGAAGGAAAATCCGGTAAATTTGGTAACCACCCTCAAATTAGGACGTACTAACAATGTATTATTTAAAAGACTTTGATTTTTTCAACCATTGTATGGTTTTTCTCTAGGTTATATCGATCCCAGTTGGATTATATTTCAGTTCATCATTCGACAACATTCATCACGCATTTCTACTGTAAGTATATTCTCTGTATATGGTGTCAATGTTATTGATTGTATTGATTAGGGGATTATACATAAAACATAAATTTTTTGATTCTTCATATTATTGTGCTTGTTGCACACCAAATGTTCGATGAAATGTGTATGTGAAATTTTGTATGTAATATAAGTTAGTCATACTTTTTTATTAAACATATAAATAATCAAACTTAATTCATATGTTTCATGTCAACAGAAGAATCATGGAGGTGAACAAGGAACAACATGAGGATATGCCTGACTATGATATGGAATATGAGCAAGATGATGGAACCCAATTTTATGAATCGGACACAGAAGATGGTGAAAATAATGACATTGACTACAATAGCCATTCAGATTCGGAAGAAGAAATGCAAAGCAAAGTTCCTACAAGGTCACCTAGGAAGAGGGGCCTGACTCGATTGCCAAAGCTGAAGACCGAGTATGTCAATTCTGGTGGTAGAAAAAAACGTGTCAAGTTTGATGAATTCGGTAAGTTTACAGGGAAGAATAATGCAGTGTTTGTTAGTTATTTAGGAGATCTTGTCCGCGAGAAGGTGGGATTAAGTGCTCTTTTCTGGAAGAAAGTAAAGCCGGAAGTGAAGGACAAACTTTGGGAAGAGATTACAGTAAATATTTTTTTCACTTTTTTTAACTGCATCTCATATTTTATTAGAAATCATGTATTAAATACTAAAAAATTCATTATTGTTTCATTTTAGAGCTATTTTGAAGTTGATGAAACTAGAAAACAATTTGTGATGAATAGGCTTGGTATCCTTCTACGAAACTTCAGAAGGAAATTGTATGCAGCTTACATCAAGCCACATCTAGGCAATTCCAAAAAGCTTGGAGAAATCCCTGTTCGATATCGTGCAATAATTACTGAAAAAGATGATTGGAACAAATTCGTGACATATACGCAATCTGAAGAGTTTAATGTTACAACTTTTTCCCAAAACTTCATTTATTTATCATAAAATTACCAAAAAGTGCTTGACAAATCTTTTTTTTTTGACAGGTTGTGTCACAAAAGACTGTCAAAGCGCGAAAGATGTCAAAGTACGCTCATCGGATGGGACGAGGGGGTATACTACTCTTAGGCGGAAGTTGGTAAGCTTTGTTTTTAGCTATATGATCCATTATATTACCTTCATAGTATTCTACTTAACAGAATTTTACTTTATATTGTTTACAATTTAATTTTTTTTATCAAGATTGAAGAGAAAGTGATTTCAAAGGAAGAAATGCCCCAAGGTCAATTATGTGGTGCAAAGGACGTGAAAGTAAAGGAGTATTTAAGGATGAAGATGTTAAACTCATGGCGGATAAACTAGTAACTTCAATAAACTTTTTTATTACTATTACTGTAAAGATTTTAATCAGTTTTATTAGGACAATAATTATTAATATTTTGTGTGCTAGATGGAACAAGAAAAGCAGATAAAAGAAGGACAAGTTAATGTTGAACCAGGCACGGATGCCATGACCTTAGTTTTTGGCAAGGAAAAGGGAGGATTTTTAAAGGGTGTCGGCATAGGAGTCACTTACAACAGATATTTCAATGTTCCTCGCAGCAAAGGATCATCTAAGGAAGAAATTAAAGATCTTAAAGTTGCATTGCATAATGGAAAACTTGAGCTTGAGAAAAAAGATGTTGAACTCAAGGCTTTGTCTACAAAGGTTAATGAA